TATATTCCGACAAACAAAATACAAACAATGATTACGGTTACACATTTCATTAGATTTCATCTGTTTTATTACTTTAATCGCAGAAAATACGATCGGGAAAGGATTATGCCGACAGAAAAATCTGCCATTATTTTACAGTAAACTTTTGCTGAAAACTTTCCTTTTATAAATGTACATATTTTGTAAATTTCTGGTATTGATGTCGTCCGTTTTCAAAGTGGTTCTTTAAAATTTGGAAGCTACGCACATATTTTGCAGATATTTGAGTATGTGTCGTGCACACTTGAAGAGGAAATAAACAGGATTAACATTGCTCAAATTTGGACAATTTCATGTCCAATTTAAACTTAAATGACTTTGGTAACCACTTGAATCAAACGGAAATCATGGTTTTATGACAAAGGACCGACTTTAAATGAGAGGTTACAGAATATGTTTGGAGGATGTTATTTTCCAAATTTTAATGTCTCTTTTCACGGCTGAACTCAAAGTTGGATGAGTTAGCCTCTGCAGGGACTTTGGTGTGCGATGCGTCATGATCTTCATGCTGGAAAAAAATACTATATATACTATACTACTAAAAATACTCGGTGGGTACTTCTTGGTAATGGGGATGTGCCGTTGGATGAGGTCGCATTTTTCACGACTGGATTGACTATATCAATAGAGTTACTGGAATGGAGTCGCACATTTTCGGGATTTTAAGAGTAAGAAAATGGCCGTTTTTATGCTAGAGACGTTAAAGTTGTCTAAGACGTTAAAGTCGTCTCGAGACGACTTTAACGTCTTAGACAACTTTAACGTCTCTAGCATAAAAACGGCCAGTAGCTTTAAATAAGGATGTGAAAATGGTAAGAACCAAATGTACCAGAATATTTGTATTGTTGTACCGCAGGTAAAAGTTTCAAATGCTCCAAAATGTTTTTAATATAGGTAAAAAATCAAGTGATCTGCATCAAGTTTAACAAATAGATCAATTCGTTTTAGGATGATCTACTTAACAGCCTCTATAAAATGATACATAACCGATAATCGGCCACGGAATAGTTTGAGAGGCCAGTGGTACATACTCAGTAAAATTTCAAACCAAGACCCACACTCGTTTTCAAACTTGGTCTCTAAAAGTTGAACTTGGTTAGCGCTAAGCATAAGTCAAAGCCAAAGACAAACTGGAAATTTCCCCTAAAAATTCAGCTCGAATGACACAATTTAATATTATTGTCTTTCCCTTTGGTTCCATCAGAGTTAAAACGAAAATGACTTTGGTATGTCATCTGAAATGTCATCCTCTTGCAGACTACCATCAATTTACG